TACATCTAGTAGAATAAAAAGGATGTTAACTTAAATTGTTTGTTCTCATTTTCTGTTAGTTTTTCTATTTCTGTCATTTTAATATGGCGTAGATTACTGTAGAAATTTCAATTCTCAGTTGTAACAACACTTTTGCTGCTGTAGTCATATTTATACATCTTTACAAAACTCACATTTTCTGCTGTTGACATATACATACATTTTCAAGACATCGTGAATATGAATCCCCTAGTGTTTGTGTTATAAACTAACAGTTAGTGCTAAAATGTAGTAGAATAAAATACAAGCAGTTTTGTGATTGATTGTTTTTTTTTTTTTTTTTTTTTTTTTAATGATGTTGGATGTTAAGGTTAGTCTATCCTGAAGTGTATGGGAGTGAAGTAAAATATTGCTGCAAGCATTCTTTCTTGTCAGAGTTCATTTTTGCACATTTACAAATCTACCATTCATCTGTGCATTGAATACTGCTGCACATCTCAAGGTTCTTGACAAAATCTGAAGAAGAATCTTACTTATTATAAAACGCAGATTGTGTGTGTGTGTGTCTGTAACGTTTATATATTGGATCGGATTTCCCACATTTTTCAACCGATTTCAACAAAACTTCACAGGACTACATAAAATTACCTTGTGGTGGTTCTAACAGCGCCAAAGATGGGAAAAATATAATTATTTTTCCACAAAATCAATTTGAAAACACAATTAAGAAACATTGTGAAAATGGAAGGGGGACAACTCACATCGGGTTGTTTGTGTGTGTGGGTTCCTTTAAATATGGGAGCGGATTTCCTATGTTTTTCAGCCAATAAAACAAAACTTCACTTTTTTTTTTTTTTGGCAGGTAGTGTTTCTTATTGTCTTGCACACTTTTTTCTTTATTTTTACATTCAGAATGCTTTAAAAATTCCATTTACAAGACAATTGTTTATAATAAAATTCTATTCAATTGGTAGACTCATAATGAGTGAAAACAATGTTTTTGTTTGAGTAATTCGTAAAAAAAAAAAAAACCAAAAAAAAACCATGCGTGTCTGTCAACCTTAAACAATAATCTTTATCAATTTTATTTTTCAGTCTTTATGATGGTGGATAGTTGATCTATCTCTTACTGTTATATCTCCGGGCAATGCCGGGCTCTACTACTAGTCTGTAATATAGTTGATCTTGACCTGGCATCTCAACTTCAGTCAATTTCTCATTGACCTAACATAGCTTCCCTCTGTCTTTTCTACAAATATTTTCATGTTAACTGCTCTGACAATTTTTTTTTCCCCTGGTGCTCCAACTCCCTGAATTTAAGCATGCTACTGGATTGGCAATTAGGTCCCACCTGTTTACTGTTGAAATAGCTAAATGCAACTGCCACTTCTACTCTAACAGTTTCTTTTCTCACATTTCCCACCTGTGGAACGCCTTTCCTATTTCTTGCTTCCCTGATAACTACAATCTTCAAAAATTTAAATACAATGACAATTGTCATCTGTTTTTTGAATCCTGTTCATATTTTGTTCTTTCCTCAATCCTCAGTTTTTTCTCTCAATCCCTCTAACCCCATGCATTCTCATCTTGCTTGGGATATAATGATTAAAAAAAAAAAAAAAAAAAATTTCCTATTTTACCCAAAACAGGCCAGTACAGCCAGGTAAATTCCAAGTATTCCATTTCTAAGGCTCAATTGAAAATGACAGAAATTTCTATCAATTTTCGATGGTGCAGCAGAAATACCTCCTACATAATGTAAGACATTAATGGCAATGGTGTCTTCATCTGCCGTATCCTGTATCTGTGATTCCAGGTATCTAAATTGACACACTTTTCACCAACCAATCAATCAATGCCCAGGCGCTATTCAATCAGAGTAATTTCAAATTTGTTCTCCTTCCTTAGACAATGTTCACTTTGACATTACATTCATATAACCAAAGAAAAAAAGTAAAAGGACGCATTTTAAATGTATAAAGAGGTTTTTGTAGCATGCTTTGACGTCTACCACACACAAATAGATTCTTCTAAATATATATATACTGCATATATTTTGGCAGTATTCATTCATTAAGACACGTCTCATTAAATAATTTAGACACATTTAATTCTATTCTTAATAGTATCCTCTCATAATTGCAGATGAGTTTCTTAGTATCCTTATTAAAGGAAGAAAGAAAATTACCATGTTGATGCAAATTCATCTTAATCTGACTACTTTCAATATTTAATTTTTAGATAAACGCAACAAATTTGTCTTAGAAAAAACACAGACCCTGATGATGACATTGCGCTAATGTCGAAAGTACTGGGAATAAAATGAATATGCATCAACATGGTAACTTTCTTTCTTCCTTTAATAAGGATACAAAGAAACTTGTCTGTAATTATGAGATGATCCTATTAAAAAGTAGATAAAACTTGTCTAAATTATTTAATGAGACATGTCTTTATATATATATATAAAAAAGACAATAGGAAAACTGTAATAGTTGCCGACTTGTTTCATCCAATGTGGACTTTTTCAAGGCAAAAGACAAAATGAATTTATTAAACAAAGTAACTAATAACAAAAAATGTCCTTAGCAACTGGAAGAATTTAGAGAATGCTATTTTCATTCTGTTAACTGAAAATTATGTCAGTTACTGTTACGTGTAGAGATATTGTTTTTATTGTTGTGTTGACAGATTCAACCATTTTCTTTTGATTTCTTGATACTGTTGTGTATGTTTGTTTTGGAGAGTAGTAATTCTGTTAAAGGTGAAATAGGGAAAAAGCCTGGAAAAAAGGATATTACCCAAATATTAATCTACACCCAGACTTTTCCCCCCCCATTTCACCTTTCTTAACAGAATTAATACTCTCCCAAACAAACGTACAGAACAGAGAGGAAGGCCCTGAAATGATGCACATTCTCTCCTGACGACCCCAGTTTAAATATAAATTCGAGAGGAACACATCAAAATTCAGTGAAGTCATATGCCGTAGAGAATCTTGGTGGAAGTGTCATTGGCATGAGGAATATTACACATTCATCTCGCTTCAAGTGAGTTTCAATTACTTTCCAGTAATTTCTTTCTTCAAGAAATCAAAAGAAAATGGTTGAATAAAAACAATATCTACACACGTGACCGTAATTAACGTAATTTTCAGTTAACAGAATGAAAATAGCGTTCTCTAAATTCTTCCAGTTGCTAAGGACATTTTGTTTTGTTATTATTAGTTACTTTGTTTAATAAATACATTTCGTTTTGCCTTGAAAAAGTCCACATCGGACAAAACGTATCGGCTACCATTACAGTTTTCCTATTGTCTTTTACATTTATAAATATTGTCTTTTTTTACAGGTTAACTCTGAGAAATTTTTCATGTATATATTTTAAAGTTTCCTGTTTAAATCATTTTCTTTAACAATTTTTTATTTTTTTATTTTTTACAATCAAAAAAATTTCATTGATTGCCCTGGAAATTAAATTTACCATCGCATTTAAAAAAAAAAAAAAAAGAAAACAGCAAAAAAATTTACCGTAATTAATAGATTAACATTTGGCAAATCGTTTGAGCTGTTTTTGTTGTCCGTCTGACAAACGAATACGAGAATATGAATTGACGTCTGAAGTGCGGTGTATAAAAAGACCCTTAAAAGCTGACACAAGATAGCAAATGCTTCAAGGTTGCAAGCGACATCACAAAAATACCTAAAAAAAAAAAAAAAAAATAACACTTGTTGCTCATATTACCCACACCTAGCACCACCCTGACAAGGTTAACAAAGGGTGTAGTAACTTTTTTGTTTCTTTTACACTTATTACCATCCGAATAATAATAGTTATGGATGAGTGGATTAGCTAAATGCTCACTCATCCATGTTAGAGATATTTTTGTCAAGCTATTAGCAATGCGAGCGATACACAGGAAGAAGAGGACTCATGCCTTTCACAAAGAGCCTTAGCGAACAAAAGCAGCCTAAATCTGATCTCGGTTCACTGACAACCGCAATGCTACTTCACACTTGGTAAAGTCGCAACAATGTCGCTCAGATAATGAAAATGATTTTACAAGTATAAAATGGTCAAGGTTATTTGAATCTTGGAGGTGAAGCAGTTATTGCATTTTTTTTTTTTTGCCTTTCATCATCTTCAGTTATTATTTTATTTAACATTCTGGCTGACGTTTCTAGATGACGAATTCTTACGACTATATATTGATTCTTTTCGACCAGTTTCCTAGCTTGTCTTTCTTGGAGGGTATAGAAGCTGAAACAGCATTATAAAAAAAAAAAAATAATAATAAAATACAAAGAGGAGAAAACTGGTCTGAAAGAATTTGCTTTTGAGATCTACGAATCCGAGACTATTGTTTTATTTTTTTAAATAATTTTAGTACCAAAATTTTTTTTTGTGACCCATGTTGGAAAAGACACTATTGCCAAAAGAAAAACGAAAACATACTGCAATGTGACTATTATTACTAGTCACGGATGGGATTTGCCAATGGTATATCCGGTCTGTGTGAAGTCGGAAGTGTACAGTGACCGTGGATGCAAGTTGTGTAGATGGCTGCACAGTTCATTTACACACATACACATACATTGTATAAGCTTCTTGACTTGGATTGTATTCAGGGCTTTCATTAAGATGACGACGACACAACATCCATGCGGAGTAATTCCAAAAGGATTGAATGAGGCACAATGTCATTACATGTAAAAATTAAAAATAAAATGAATGAAAAAAAAAAAATAAAGAAAAAATGAATGAATGAGAATGAAAAAAAAAATCTGAATGAAAAACAGAAAAAAAAATGAGGAAAGAAAAACTAACCAATGAATGAAAATGAAAAACCAAAAAGTAATGATTTAACAAAAAAAAAAAAAAAATTCCCCAGTATGTTGAAAAATGTTTATAAGTTAAAAAAATCTTTAAATTAAAAAAAAAAAAAAATTAAAAAAAATTTTTTTTTTTTTTTTTTTGTTCTTCCTATTTTGTCGTCTGTTTGACAAAGCCACGCAGAGAGGCTAAGCAATGAAAACTTGTCCTGAATATGTGTCGGACATTTCCCATACGAGCGATTTCACAATCTTTACTATCCGTGTCACATTTTTGTTGTCCTGTAAAGAAAAGAAAAGAAAATGTGAGATAAAAAGAAAGAAGAGAAAAAATATTGAATGAAACAAATGTCGTTTCTCTAGTCGACAATGACAGCCAAATATCTACCTCCTATGGCTTATTTGCCTTGGTAGGGTAACCAATTTAAGAGAATGACAACTCCCTGCTCACAACCCATGGGTCAAGGTAAGGCCCGTCACTCTTATAGTCATCAGGAATGGTTAGGGGTCTGTAGCAAATTATCAAGAAAATGATTGATATCCTCATCTTTATTGTTAGTATGACATTTCAACTATTTTGCTCTTCAGTCTTCTTCAGGTGTCACACAGAGAGGCCTGTACCTGGATATGACAAGTTGTTCTGCTGCTAATGGAAGAAATCTTGGAATGTAAGTAGGACTTGGGGCCTCATTTGTAAATAACAGTTAAGTCCAATAACACTGTAAAAGTCAGATATCGATTTTACACTATTGATATTATGAACAGACAACAACAAAAAAAAAAAAAAGCAATAGTTGCATAATCTATTTTGTTTACTTCTTTGTGGAATAAAGTTAATAAAGTGCAATTATATTCAGATGTATATACATGCGCAATTTTTCAGCAATGACACTTTGCTTGTTAGTTTTGTAAACTGCAAAAGGATCTTCTCTGGTCACAGTTCAACAATAATCAGCCAGCATTGATGGACTCCACCTATGCTGATACCGTTTTGTTTACTAAAACCATTTGGGTATAAGAGATCAGAATTTTAGCTTTTATTTCCTAGTATTTACATTTTGATGTGCTAAACAACTTAGGACATACCACCTTTTGTTTGAACGCACAAAACTATTGGAACACATGACTGACAGGTGTTTCTTGTTGCTTGATTGTATAAACTTTTTAGTTTGATTAAATAGCTCAGAATGACTACTCTTGGTTTTAGTCTTGGGTTTTACCTATAAAGACTATTTACGCATACACCAACATGAAGACGAGAGAGCTGTAAGAAAAGTAAGCCATTTTGAAGCCAAGAAAAGAAGGAAAAAAAATCGATCAGAGCCATTGAACTAACATTGGGCATAGCCAACGCAACAATTTGGAATGTCTTGAAAAAAGAAAGAAACTGCTAGTGTACTGAACAACAGACATAGAACAGGTTGGCCAAGGAAAACAACAATAACAACAATTAATGACAGAAACATCATGAGATCTGTGAGGGACAACCGAACAAGAGTCAGTAACATCACCAACAACCTCCACAGTGCAGGGGGTGATGGTTTCATAATCCACTGTTCAAAGAAAACTTCAAGAGGAAAAATATAGCAGCCATACTACAAGATGAAAACCACTCATCAGAAGCAAGAATCAGAAGGCCAGATTGGAATTTGCAAGGAAATAGAGACATGAGTGACAAAAGTTTTGGAAGAAAGTTTTTTTGGACTGGAGAGACCAAGATTAACCTCTACCAAAAATGATGGAAGGGCCAAACTATGGAGAAAGAAAGGATCTGCTTATAATCCAAGCTTATCTGTGAAGCATGATGGAGGCAGTGTCTTGGCTTGGGCTTGTATGGCTGCTTCTGGAACAGGTTCATTCATATTTATTAATGATAATGGTACCAGCGGAATGAATTCAGAAGTCTACAAAAGAATTTTGTCTGCCAATTTACAAAGAAATGCATCCAAACTAATCAGATGGAAGTTTATCAGGCAGCAGGACAATGATCCAAAAACCTACTGCCAACACAACAAAGGACTTTATTTATTATGGACAGTTTTAGACTGGCTAAGTCACTCACTGGACCTCCTTAACCCAATAGAGCATACATTTCATCTCCTGAAAGAGACTGAAGGAAGACCCCCCCCCAACAAAAAAAAAATAAACAAAACAAACACGAATTGGAAGAGGCTGCATTAAAAATCAGGAAAAACGTCACAAATGAAGAATTTGGTGATGTCAATGGGCCACAGGTTTTATGCAGTTATTACAAGTAAGGCTTATGCTGCCAAATATTAAATGTTATTTACTTTAAGACTGTTCCTTTAATTTGGCTCTCTTAATAACGGCGTGATTCAATACAAAAGGTGGTATGTCCTAAGCTGTTTAACACATCATTCTGAACTCATCTCATATTCATCTTTTGAACTTAAACCCAATTGTCTTCAGTGAACAACCAAAACAAAGAAATTGGCTTTGCCATCCCAATACTTTTGAAGGGGGGGGACTATATACGAGTTATATGTCCTCGGCTTCTTGTTGACTAATAAAAGATTTATTTATCAAAATTCAAACAAGATATTTAAACAAATGTAGATTTTATAACCAATTTCACAAATGTTCAATATGACCGAGATCATTTGTGCAAGAATTGTGTGTGTGTGTGTGTGTGTGTGGGGGGGGTTATGGCAATTGGTGGCAGGCACTCTATATATACTGGGTGCGATGGATAAATTGTCGTCTAAATGACACAAAACTGAAAATGACACTGACATCTCATTTTAACAGGTACACTTACCAAAATTACAAAAAAAAAAAAAAAAAATATCTTTAAATACTACAGAGTAAATTTATTCAATAAAATTGCTATTGGCTTCAACCATGGTCTCCTGCATCTCTTCTGGGCAGTCTCCTTGTTTAAGTTGGTCACATGCACAAAATTAAAAATACAAAATGGTGACAATTTACTCTGTGTGTGTGTGTGTGCATATACATACACAAATATATATATTTTTTTTATTTTATGCTTATTTTAATACCTATACCCAACTGGTTAAAAAAAAAACTGGATATTACAATTTGCCTACAAAAATATATTTAAGCAAACGTGTCTCTGGGGGTGGGGGGAAGAAAAGACTAAAAACATCTGAGTTGGTATTAAAAAAAAACAAAAAACAATCAAGTAAAATAAGAAAAGACATAAAGTGGTCAATACACTAAGTAGAGACGAGTCTAAAAAATCCTAGTGAGTCAAAACTACCTACCAAGGTTTCACCTAAATGGATCTTCAGTTTGCCCTGAAGATCTGTTAGGTGAAACCTTAGTGTGTATATATATATATATATATATATATATATGAAGAAAAATTTGGAAAAAACAAACAAAAATCCTTAAATGCAATTATGTTGTTTAAAATGAATGAAATGTCGACGTCTGACGTTTCGGTTTAATAAACCTTCTTCAGGACAATATTCATTAAAATACAATTCAATTCAATTTGACAAAGACGATGGACATAAAAGACAAGTCTTATCCAAAACAGATAACTGAAAATTTTAAAGTGATCAGCTTTCCGTTTAGCATGGTCACGTTGTCGTCACATGGGCGACGCTTTCAAAAACGTATTCCTAAAATTTTTGATTATTTTGAATGAAAAAGAAAATTAAAAAAAGAATTCTATTAGGATCTAAAATTTTATATGTGTATGCTTGTCAAGTATTAATCTAAGCTAAAAAAGGGGAAATATTAAAGAAACCAGGTCTAGTATGCATTTAAGGATTTTTTGTTTGTTTTTTTCCAAATTTTTCTTCATTCTGTCAGATCTATATCCATTTACATTTTTACATATATATATATATATATATATATATATATATATATATATATATATATATATATATATATATATATATATATATATATATATATATCTCACAAGCCAACCGTCACCAGATTACAGCATTAAAAAAGGGATTGTCCAATGCCTAAAACAAAATGCAAAAATCCCAATTGGTGAGCCAGATATAATAACAGGAGATGATCAACATCAATTTTACCCTTCAGAATAACAACTACCCTGCAAATGTAATGTCAGCTTCTATGGACTGAAACAGAAGTGCAAAGGATGAGAAGGCCTACGATCTGTCTCCGTTATGTCAAGGGCTTGTTGGAAAGGATTCAGAAGAACTGGATCAGGGCAATATTCAGAAAGAGTTTGACTTGCCAGAGAAATTGGTATTCCATTTCTTAGTCAAGGCAAAGGATGGAACCAGATATTCCCTGAAGGTTTGATTTATTGACTTTTTTTTTTGTTTTTAAAGCTTATCAACCCTTTGTGAGTTATTTAAATCCAAAATTTTTTTTTTTAGTGAATATTGCATTTGCCTTGTATTTGTTACATCAATTTTATCAAGAATCTCTAAATATGTATCCAACAGGGGCCACCAGGCCCAATGTTGCAGCAATATTCAAAGCAAGGACGATTGGTAGACTTGTAAATATTTTAGATTCTGGCAAGAAAATTTGTCTAGCATGACTCAGTGAAGACAACTTTCTTAACTGCAGACTTGGAAATGGATTCAAACTTCTATTGTTAAATCTGTTATAATTAAAGAACAGGCATTACTTTTTGGCCAACCCTAATGACGTAACAGAGAAGGAAGGTATGTTAACCCTTTAGTATTCAACACACCCAAACCTGCCTTGTAAATACCAACACTTAAAGTCCAATAGTTTGCAGGACTTCCTGTGTTATTTGCAATGATTTCATCATATACATTATGTCAGAGTCTACATGGGGCAGGCTGAACACCGAGAGCTGACATTTACAGGATTTGTTGAATGCTAAAGGAAAAAGGTCCAGATGTGAAAACTGGAGACTTTGTATTTTAGGATGTTTTGTATGCTTCTATGATTAAATCTGTTGTAATTAAAGAACACGCATTACTTTTTGACCGACCATCGTATTAAAAATAAAATTTACTTTCTTATTACTCAATCTGTAACAAATTACTGCCTAAAATGTTACAAATTTAGACAACATTTAATTTTCTTGCCTGCAAAATACCCCTCCACAAAAAAAAAAAAAAAAAAAAAAGTGTTAAAAGAACATTAATTACCTTTACTCTATACACTTTTGAATTCCTCAACAATGTTTGTTTTAAAAAGTGATGCTTAGAATGTTTACAAACTCAAACATGTGAAAATGGATTCATATATTTTCTTTATTCTTGAGAACTGACAACAAAGATGTTAAACACTATTAGATTGAATAAGACTTGTTTTCATAGTTCCTTATTAAATCATAATTATTGAATATTGCATTGTCGTTGGTTTACATATTTTTTGTTTTTTTGGGGTTATTTAATACTGACAAGATTTTTATTGCTGGTAATAAGCAGTCATTTTGTACTACAAATATAGGATAAATTCATGAAAATTTGCTATATTTCTTGACCTCATCTTATCTAAAGGTCACCTTATATGTAGAAATATACAGTATTTTGTTTTTCTAGCTGCCTTTTTTTAAGAAATCAGGGTTATAAAAAAAAACAAAAGATCTAAGTTTGATGTGGTGAATTTAAATTTCCAAACGCTTTTTCTACCAAATCCAGTTCATCTTTCCTTTCATATATTCTGCTTTTAATGCCTGGTTTGCTTTATGGCATATCAACCTCAATGGGTTAGTTAATGCCGACAAGATTTTTATTGCTGGTAATATTTTCCTCAAAAATGTACGGATGGTAATATTTATTTTCCTTCACAAATTCATTACTAGTAATAATTTTTTTTTTACAAAAAAGTATTGCTGGTATTAAAACTTATTTTTATACTTTCATAGTGTTTTGACCCCTTTCGAAGGTGTTAAGGTATTTGCCCATAGCTGGGACCCTGAGAGGTGCTACCACACTGGGTCATTGGGAACACCAGCAATTAAGAGGTGGTTCCATGCTCCTCAAAACCTCCTGATGAGAGGCCTTGCTGTTGCACGTAGTTTATCGTCTTACCCAGGATGTACATATTTTGATAATTTTAATTTTTTTTTTTTAAATTTTCAAGTAAGAAGATTTTTATTTTTTTATAAAATGGCAAATAAATATTTATCAAAGGTAAATAATAAATATTGCATTGTACTTAGTTCATATATTTTTTATAATCTTGTAAATAAACATTGCTGAGGGAGTCAAAAGGGTAAACAATAATAGTGGCGTCAAGGGAATAACAGTTCTTCTGAGACACTATCTTTTGCAGGCATGAAGGTTAAACATTGCCCAAGTTTGTTACACTTATTCCTTGTTATGAAATGTCACAAGCTTTTCTTTCTTATAAACCCAACAGCTCTTGCCAAGAGTGTGGGATGATAATGCTCTTGCATATCATTGCCATGGGATTATTCTAAACCTTACCTTGGTCAGAATGAAAATTGGTGCAATGTTGTCCTTGAAGCTATCAGCAAGCGTTTCGGCCGATTTCTGTAGTTGATCCCAAACGGCCGAGAAGTTGTCCTGTTCAGAAGCATGGAACAAATATATTACTGTGCCACCAGCCACAAACCTGCCTGGTTCCTCGGTCCACACTTGTGCGAGTTCTTCGGTGGTCTCAAGAATTTCTTCGAGGTTCACTGTTGACTGACTCAGGACGACACTGGTCAACTGTTTTGGCAATTGGTCAGCAGAGTCTAATGCACAAACCTAGAAGAGCCAAGAAAGATGAAGAAATGTTAGCCTGGCAAAGTTCCTGCCTGCCGAGAGCATTTTTGCTTGCAAAAAAAAAAAAAAAAAAAAAAAAAAAAAAAAAAGAAAAAAAAGGTCAGCTAAATACTGAGAGCTTTGATGATAAAGATTGAATCGCATGACAGCAATAAAAAATGGGAATGAAGAAATTAATTTATTTTTCCAAGCAAACATGCATGACTATAAAAATGATAAATATTAGAAAAAAAATGTTTAAATTCAAGAACTTCTATTATCTAAGAGGTATAACACAAATTAACTTTTCAAACTAAAATAATTTAAATATTATTACATTATTGAAAAAAAAAAAAAAAAAAAAAAAATTTACTTTTTTTTTTTTTTCAGAGTTAGTCTGATGAATATTTATGAGCTCCTCTTAAATCTAAAAATTCTGTAAAAAAACTGCTCTTTGTCCCTCCTTGGTGCTAGTGGAGCAGCCATGTTTTACACTGAAACAGCGGCAAGAAAAGTGGCCCAGTCAAGTTCTAACTTTGATCACAGAACCACAAGATTACCAACTGCCAACACAACAAAGGACTTTATCTGGGGAAAGAAGTACTGGAAGGCAGTGTGGCAAACCTAAAGATATGCTATGGCGTAAGTGTGGATAACTTTTTTTACTTACTCTCGTATATTTAGGGAGAGAGGTGGATAAAATATAAAATAAAAAACATTGATATACTAATTTTGATGTTTTGCAACTTAATTGCTATGCATTGAGATTTAAACATGGAAGATGTCCATTAATTTTTTCTTGCTTAACAATTCCTTAAAAAAAAAAACAAAAAAAAACAAAAAAAACAAACAACAAACAAACCTCAATGTGGTGGTCTTCAAGATGACGTTTCAGGGCAGTTACCAAATTGGCATCAGGAATATTGACCAAACCAACTTTGAGAAATTTTTCTGAGAAAAAGAAAGAAAACAAAATCTCCATCACAGAGTAAGGTCTCTTCACTTACAAAAACATTTTTTTCATTTTTTCTCATGAAAAAAAAGGAAAAAGAAAAAAAAGGAAAAAAGAAAAAAATAAGGAAAATAAGGAAGAAAAAAAATAAGGAAGAAAAAAATAAGGAAAATAAGGAAAAAAAAAATAAGGAAAAAAAAAAAGAAAAACTTTTTATCATAGGTAAATAATTTTAACTATTTTGCAAAATATTTTCAAAGTAATAATTAAGTGAAATGAGAAAAAAAATAATTTAAACAATATCTAAATAGACTGAACTAATGTTTTTAAGAAAATTCATTCATCTTTTAAATGTTCTTTCAAGACATTAGTGATCATAGCTCTCCCCAATTTCCTATCCTTTAATGTTCTAATTAAATTTCAAGTCCTAACGCTCCCTTTGTCTTTTTGCCAGTTGACCCACTTAACAAGTTCTAGTAAATGGATAACTTACAGAGATACCAAGGGAAACCAGATCATGCCAGTCTGTGACTCTTAATGAGTACAAGAAAATCATTTTTATGTGGGGGATTCATATCAAATTTCTAATGAAATTTAAGAATCTATAAAATTTAAAATATTGCTTTGAATACAAATTCAGATACTGAAATAGAAAAAAAAAATACTACACAAAAATTAAAATAAAATATTGCAACATTAAATTTAGGTTTTGTTGATTAAAAAAATTAAATTTTGGAGGCTAGAAAAAGAAAAGAAAACTCATGAAAAGTTCTAATTTTCTGAAAATCATTTTAATTTCTTGATTTTTTATTTTTGATAAAATTTTAATTTCAATGTGTAAAAAATCATTTATTTATCATCAGGGCCTTTTTTTGTTTTTATATTTGTAAACTTGAAATCATTTTAATTGAAAGTTATTGAAAAATGTTAACATTTAAGTTTTTTTTTCTCTTTTCAGGTTCACAGCTGAGACTTTCTTCTTTTAACAAAAAACAATTGAAGAATTACAAATTTATTTTAAAATTAAATTATATATATATATATATATATATATATATATATATATATATATATATATATATATATGAATAAAAATGACAATAGGAAAACTGGTAATTGCTCACGTTTTTTTAATGTGGATTTTTATCAATGCAAAATATAACGAAAATGAAATTAAATGAACATTCCAGTTGCTAGATAATTCTGTTTTGTTTTTATTAGTTACTTTGTTCAATTAATTTCATTTTCGTATTTTGTTTTTGATAAAGTCCACATTGGACTTTCACAGCAATTACCAGTTTTCCTATTGTCATTTTTATTCATAAATATTGTCTTTCTACTGGTTAAATCGGAGAAATTTTCATATTATATATATATATATTTAAGAGTTTTTTTTCTTTTTCTCCACATCTCATTCTCTGAAGAAGCTTTATGCCTACCGATTGTGTCTAGCATGAAACAGCCTGTCACCTCTGAGTGTTGACTTCTATGTTCACTTTTATATTTACATACACTATCTCTGATATTGACCACTTTATCCCATAAAACTATATATATATATATATATATATATATATATATATATGAAGTTTCTTCCTAAGACGAACATGGCTCCAATGTCACCATAATTCTTGCGGCCATATTGTTAAAATTCTTTGAAACTTAGTCAAATGACAACAGAATCCTTGCAAGCATTTGGTGTGTGTGATTTATGATGTTTTGGAAGAGTTCAAAGGTTAAGAAACATTTGGTATCTGTCTATATTTTTCCATCCATTAGACATGGAACGTGGAACTAGAACAGTCTACCCCAGCGAGTGAAATAAAGGGTTCAGTTTGACATTCAACCATCTGAAGAAGGCCAGACTGTACAATGGCTGAAACGTTGTGATAAATATGGCAATAGTCTGAATAATGTAAATAGTGTTAAACATTAGCTCATTGGAATTACTGAACGATTTTATCAAAGGAATCCTGTCAAATATGATGAAAGACAAAAAAAGCTATAAAACAGTTTTTCCCATGATACCGATATTTTAACTACCTTCACCCCTTCGTCTGTTTTTATAGTTTTAAAAAGGATGATTAGAATTGTAATAAAACCTAGACATAAATGCTAATTTATACATTTTCTTTGTTCTTGAGAATTGACAAATAAATATTGTTTATTGGAATGCTTGGCAAAACATCAGCTAATTGTCAATTGACTTTATAAAATGGTAAATAATAAGGATTTTCTTAACGTTGTTTCACATATTTTAAGAATTTAGCAAACGCTTATAGATTTATGAGTAAAAAATTGTTTTCATATTTATTTCTTTATAAACTGGTAAATGATAAATACTGCATTAGTTTCAATACAATTGTATTTGTTTTTAGAATGTTGTAAATCTAAAATTATTCTTGTAAATAAACAATCTAATAAATAAATAGAGTTTAATATTTCTGTTGTAAATTCTCAAGAACCCAAAAAATGTATAAATTTACTTTCATCATATGTTTAGGTTTTATTTCAATTCTAATCATTGCTTTTTAAAATAAACATTACTGAGGAATGAAGGTAGTTAAGAAAATGATGTCATGGGAAAAAAAAAAAAAAACATCCTTTTGGCAGTATGTCTTATTGCAGACACATTTGTCCTTGTTTGCCAAAAATTGATTCTCAGTCGTTATCTTACAATTGCCACAGGTAAAAAAAAAAAAAAACTATCAAAGCAAATCTGAGGGCAAAACATCTTACCTTTTAGGGTTCCTTCAGCAGTATAAAAATCTTTTCTGTGTGTTACCTGAAATGGAAAAAAAAAAATAATAAAAATAAAAGATAAAGAATTTTTGCTTGAATTTGTTTAACAACACATCAACTGGGTCATTTAATGCCAAAATTTAATTTTCTTGGGAACTCTGAATTAGGAAAAATATATGTTATTCTGCTTTCACAGCTGAATCCATGGTAGATGATGCTCAGCTTTTGTGCATATACATGTTTGTATGGATATAATTACGAGAGGTGGTGATTCATGTTTTATGTTGAAGTTATATTTTGGAATATAGTTTGATTTCTTTAAGAAATTGTATGATATTAGATGGATTAATATCATGAAAGAATTCTTTCATCTCGATTGATTTTCTTTAGCAGCATTTCAGCCTCGATGGGTCATTTAATGACAAAATCTAAATATTTTATACGTCCTTTTATGACTTCAACTACAGATAAAATGTATTGCTGGTCATTTTACTTGAAAAAATCTATTTTATGCTTTCATAGTGAACCCCTCAAACAAAAACAAGAGACTATTTGCCCATAGCTGGGACCCTAACAGGTGCTACCACCCTGGATCAGGGTGAACCTGGGAACAACAGCAATTAAGAGGTGGTTTCATGCTCCTCAAAACCTGATCAGGGGCCTTGCTGCCAGATGTAGTTTATCGTCATACTCTGGACTAGGGTTTTAGATGAGAAATTGGAACTACTGTATTGTATCTGCATTGCATGCAGATTAATTTTCTTGTTTTAGCTATTGAGCTCTCTGGCCTTCCTCAAGTGTCTGTTTGCACTTTTGCAATGTTAAACAGCATTCATACATTTAACCTGTCATGCCTTTAATCTTTAAATTTTCGCCATCTTGCCTACACATTGAACAAGTGAATTAGCTGGATTTTACAAGCACATGCAAGGTTTCAGCCAACACACTCTCCAACCATACTGAAGTTGAGGGTGTCACAGCTAAAATGTGATAGAATTCAAAATGATAAAGAAATTAGATACTTTGACTTAATTGATTTATTTGAACAATTGTTCTCATTTTTTTTTTTGTTATAGGCACCATGTTTCAGCCAAGTACACTTAGGCCATCTTCAGGTGTCCATTATTTTGCAGTGTTTGATTTTTGACACAAGACATTGTCAGTATACTTTGATTTATTTCAGTAATAGGGTTTTTCAAAAGTCTGTGTTGACATTGTATATCTTCATTACTGTTGAGGATATCAAAATAATTTATGTGTCCTGGGTATGACAATAAACTACATCCAGCAGCAAGACCTCTGATCAGGAGGTTTTGAGGAGCATGGAGCCTCCTCTTAATTGCTGGTTTTCCCAGCTTCACCCTGACCCGGGGTGGTAACACGTTTTAGGATCCCAGTTATGAGCAAATAGTTAAAACCTATTTTTACCCCAGTTTCAGGGTTAATACCAGAAATACTTTGTAAAAAATTATTACCTTCAATACAATTTTGAAAAAAAATTTTAAAAAATTATTACCAGCAATACATTTTTGAAAGAAAAAATTATTACCAGCAATAGGAATTTTGTCAGCATTAAATAACCCATTGAGGTTGATATGCCATAAAACAAACCAAAACAATTTCTATTTCCTGAAAGCTAATATTTACATGTTTCCATACAGGGTTTTATGACACACCTGCAAACGATAATTCAATTCTTGCCAAACATTACCAAGTATAGCATTGCTGGTGATTGCTAAGGTTTCAGTTTTTTGAGGGTTCGGATCATCTATGTCTCTCAGAAAGGGAAGTATGTATACAAGGCCTTACACATACCCCCAGTGGAAGAAGTCACATGGGATGAGGCCTGAAGACCTAAGGGGCCATTGCAGAAACACAAAATCAGTCTGTCTGGCATGTCACATCCAATCCATCTATCAGGCAGAGTGGTATTCAAAAATTAAATTTTATTATTTACATTAAAATTAAATTAACAGAAGAAAACTTGACACTTTTAACTTTTAAATGGTACTAATACACTCAACCTCAAAGGGTTATTTATTGCCAACAAATTATATATATATATATATATATATATATAGATAGATAGATAGATAATATTAGTGGAAAATATACATACATATGAAAAATATATCTAAAAAATTCCCATACATGTATATTTTCAGAAAAAAATTTTCCAAGAGGAAGGATCCAGGTAGAACTCAATGTCTAGGACAGAGTAAGGATATAATAAAAAGGCTTAAACACTAATATTCCATGGTCATAATTTATTCCATTGGAATCATAAATACGATCCAAATCATCAGACCTACAAATTCAAAAAAATGAAAACAGAAAAAAAACAACTCCGAAATCAAAACAGAATTTAGAGAAAGTGTAAGTATGAGGGGAGTGACATGAAACCTTAACAGAGAGAGTTTTGGAGATGTGGGGGGGGGTGGATTTAAAAAGAGGAGAGAAAGAAAGTCGACGGATGTTTAATACATAAAGATACATTTCGTGGTGACATATACACACCACAGACAATTCGGATAGGAAGGGAAAAAAAATTCGGATAGGAAGGGAAAAAAAAAAAAAAAAAAAGAAAAAAAAGAGGGTTGGGGATAGAGATGGGACGAAGGAAAATAAAATTGTGTTTACTTAAAGGGCCGCTTTGTAATTGGGAAAATTAGTATAGACTACAGGTAATAAATCAAATATAAATATATGAAGATGAATATAACGATTGTCTCATTTCGCAAGGACCAAATGTTTCTATGTTCAAAAACACATACTAATACACACAAAAAAAAACCTATACAAGAAGGTACATACACTTAGGCATGTACTCACACACACACCCAGACATACGTGTACATACACATGCACATACATACACATATATATATATATATATACACACACAAATATATATATATATATATATATATATAAAAACCTAAAAATATATTCACATATCCACACATACACATATTCATCTATATTCATATACACACACTTTTCACATACATATACACGCATACATATGCCCCATGTATACATATATATATATATAAAAAATATTCAATCATGCTACCATTTGTAGTTTCTGATATAAGTTTGGTTTGGTTTATGGCATATCAACCTCAAAAGGTTATTTAATACTAACAAATTTTTTATATACAATATTTATGAAGAAAAATATATACGGAAAAAACAAACAAAAATCCTTATATGCAATTATGCTGTTTTAATGTTAATATGTCAACGTCGGACGTTTCGGTCTAATAAACCATCTTCAAGCGTACATATAAATTTTAGATCAAAATAGAATTCTTTTCATTTTTCATTCAAAATACTCAAATTTTAGGAATACGTTTTCACAGCGTCGCCCACATGACGACAACGTGACCATGTTTTAAACAGGGCGCTGATCTTATAAAACTTTCAGTTATTTGTTTGGATAAGTCTTGTTCTTATGTACATCGTCTTTGTCATGTTGTATTGATAATGTTAATTATATTTTATGAATATGTCCTGAAGATGGTTTATTAGACCGAAACGTCCGACGTTGACATATTAACATTAAAACATCATAATTGTACATAAGGATTTTTGTTTGTTTTTTCCGTATATTTTTCTTCATACTGTCGGATCTATATCCATATATTTGCTTACATATATCTATATATGAATAATAAAAAAAAAAAGCATTCTTTGTAACAAAATCACTTTGTAAATCCAGTTTCATTAACACTTTTGCAAAGAGGGCTTCTGTCGAGAGACAATTCCATTGCTGGTATTATTTTTCCTTCAATAAAGAATTTATTCTCTATGTATCCAATTTCCTAGTTTTATTTCTGCAAAGAAGTTTTTTTTTTTTTTAAAAATCAATAGTTTGGTTTTGTAAACTTTAAAAATAATAATTTCTTTTTTTTATAAAAACTTTGTTTTATCGTTATTCCCTCCTGTTTTATATTTTCTTGTAGAGGCTGACAACCACTTTTAAAAATGATGGGATATCATCCACATTTACCTTCTCGAGCAATTCAAACATGCTACCCGTATTGTAAAATTGTTGTCTTGAGATAACTAATTCTGGACACTGTCAAAATATGTTTAATAGAAAATCATGTTTTACATGCTTGGTACACTGGTTGATTGGTTTGGTTGGTTTTGTTTTATGGCATATCAACACCTCAATGGGTTATTTAATGCTGACAAGATTTTCATATCTGGTAATATTTTTCTTTTTTTCAAAAATGTATTGCTGGTATTAAAACCTATTTTTATACTTGGTGATTAATTATTTGCCCATAGCTGGGACCCTGAGAGGTGCTGCCACCCAGGGTCAGGGTAGACCTTGGAATACCAGCAATTTTTAGAGGTGGTTTGATGCTCCTCAAATCCTCCTGATGAGAGGCCTTGCTGTTGGATGTAGTTTATTGTCTTACCAAGAAAGTCCTGATATAAGAATTCTTAGAATGTGGCGTATGCTTTTGAAACAAATTCTTGTTCTTTGGTATTTATTGATGTTATCAAAGATAATGTTTCAACAAAATTATGAAGACAAAATGCAAACACATTGGAAAGTAAGTCACAATCAGTCAAGCATCAAAAGAAATTAATGGTTACCTGTCTTTGGGAATAAATATGAAATGATCTTAAGAAAAAAAAAAAAAAAAAAAAAAAAAGTCATCGCCTCACCTTCCATAAAGAAGATGGTCCATCAATGAGGTAGGCACCAATATTGGTGTATTTGCGTACGAGGTGTAGACATTCGGTTCCATAGTCCAAGTCATCGTCTGTACACTAAACAAATACAAAGAAAAAAATAGTTATTATTAAATGGGTCCAGTCTGTCACTTGTTTCCTGTTTAGGCTTCCAATTCCTTCTAAAGTCTACTTCAACTCTATATTTCTAACGTCTCCACCTGAAATTTTATTTACTAATTATTAATTTATTTTTCTCCTCAATAGGAGTAAATATGTTCAGCTGTCACCTGGTTCATATTCCTCCCAGGTTTTTTGAACAGGAGTAGAGGTTTATCCCTTGTTTTCTGTTTAGGATTGGGTTTCCAGCTCCTTCTTGTCTGCTTCAATTCTATTCTTCTAACGTCTTATGGCAACTTGACGTGTGAGGAAGATAACCTGTTCAAGTTCTGTGGAATCAACTCCCAAGAGGATGCTTTCACACTCAATACAATCTTAATGGTTAATCCTAGACTTGAACAGGTTATTTTCCCCCCACATATCTACATAAGCTGTCCCTCTTACTCTGTAACCCTCTACCTCAAGCGGCCCTCGGGCCTTGTACAGGCTGAACACCACTGTAAAAAAAAAAAAAAATTACAATTTGAAAGTAATTGAAATGGGCATTTGTATTGTGAGGGCCGATTTCCTTTTATCTGACAACAACACGTGGGTAATAGGAAAAGAGTATAAGCTGAGATGTGTGGCCTTTTCAAGTCATAATTAGAAGACAGAAGATAACGATTGACATTGCATTGAAATTTTTTAATATAAAAGGCAATAAAGCCACTAAGACACAAAGTGGGTTACTGAGTATTAGAAAACATGAGAAAAACTACTATTAAGGGGGGGAGGGAGAGAGAGAGAGAGAGAACAATAAAAGAATAAGAATTAAGAAGACAGATGATAATGATTGACATTGCATTTAAATTTTTGAAGATCAAAGTTGTCCGGAAAGGTGGAGTTCCACAAGCGAGAAAAGAAACTGTTAGCATAGAACTTATGATTACATCTAACCATTTCAGTTGTAAAATGATGAGACCTAACTGCCAGTCTAGTATAGCACTTAAATTCTTTTGAAAGACTTCATCCTAATCAGTATCAAATCATAACTGCTCCCACTACAAACTGCTGACCTTCCCTAACAACCTCATCCAGGTCTTTCACAATCCTGGACCACCTCAATAAAGTAGAGAAGGAAGTAAACGAATCTGGATTTAAAAGTGGAAAAAAAAAAAAAAAAAAAAAAAAAAAAATTACCATTTCGTATGCTCGTTTGATGAGTTCATGTTTGAATCCCTGAGGCATCTCACTGGCACGGTAGCTGTTTCTATCAAGAGACTGTTTAAGAAAATTATTGGAGTCAACGGCAATGACTGTTGACACCAAAGGGCGGACAACTCCAGCGGCCTGCATGAGAAGTAACAAAACAATCAGTAAATTAGTGGTTAAGAAAATGAAAACAATACATTTAAAAGAAATAAAAATCCAACAAAGTTCAACACCCAGTCGTCAAATCTTTAATCTTCCCCCAACAAATCTTTCATAGAGATTATGATTACTGTCTGAATTTCTGGGATGAAGAGTTATTATTTATTATGTTGAGGCATAAATAATTTCCATTTTTGTTTCTCAACTTTATTTTTCAAAGAATAAAGCACAATTACATTTTATTCAATTACTAGCTTAAAAGGTGCACTCCGAGCAGACTTTTAAGGTAACTCCCACAGAGAGTTAATTGGGATCTCTTGTCCAGTTTAGAAAACAGCAATGATAATTTTGATAAAATAACTTTGAATTCATCAATTTATTCCATGGAACTTCAAAACCTCACTTTAAATCTGATTCCAGCGATGTCCCACTCCAGCCAAAAGGACTCATTTCGACCAAAAAAGTCCCACTCCAGCCAAAAGGACTCATTTCGACCAAAAAGTCCCACTCCAGCCAAAAGAACTGATTCAGGCCGAAATTCAAATTTAGGCTGAAAATTGTGTTCTTCAAATCACAAACCCTGCAGAACTTCAAAAGTTCACGCCCTGAAGCCTCTGACTTTAACTCTGATTCCTTTACATTTTGAAGAAATAAAATTGATTTCCTCAATTTGCAAAGTTTTGGAGATATTTTAAACTGCATTTAAAACAAAAACTCTTAAAAATCACAAAATTTTTGCGTTACTTTAAACTCAAACTTTAAAAATTCTAATTTTTTTCAGTTATTTTAAAATTTGAATTTTGAACTGTTCCCTCTTCATTTGGACACAAATCCCAATTCTGGATCTTCAAGCAACAGATGAAGGGTAGATTTTCTATCCCAGTATCTTCCTGATTCCACAAAGGTATAATGTATCTATGTATAGCAAGTGTGGCTCTAGTTAAAGGAGTTTCGGACAGACAGACAGAATCTGCCATTTATCTATTTAGATAGAAGATATATTTGCGATAACTTTTTGCCACTTGTCAGGTAGCTCTTCAATACCTTTGGAATAAAATTCTGCAGATTTTGCTGTGCAAAAAGTTTTCAGCAATTTCTTGAATGCGGTTTTCATTCGAGAAAGTTTTCCCCTCCGTCAATGCATTTTGCAGCAATCGAAAAAAAAGGTCATAATTGGTTGGTGCAAGGTCAGCTGAATATAGTAGATTGAACCAACATTTTCAAAATTTTTCCCTGTATTCTTCTTACCCGATGCAACTTTTGTCTTTAATCCGCTGTGTACGCTGCCATTGCAATACAAGCACTCAGGTATGTTTACTTCTAAAACATTCTAAATTTAATCTTAGCTGCCGTATCTGATTAGTACTTTGGATGATACGATCGTCATTACAATTGATTCCCCAAAACAGGAATTACTTTTGACTTAATCTAACAGATTATTATTTACATTTGGACTCTTCTCCTTATCTTTGTTGTTGATATTACAATGTTTCGGCCATTGTCTTCTGGCCTTCTTCAGCTGCATGTTGATCCAGGTAACCTGCAGAGAATTTTGAACTGAACCCTTTATTTAATCCCCGACAATTCCGCTGATCATGTCTTGGAAGATCTCTTCATCGTTCTTATTTAGTACAACTCACTCATTGCTCGCCTTGTTTCCAATGAGTTTTACATCTGTGCTGCCCAGCCCAGGAATTGAACTCACAATTCCTGTCACCAAATTCACGAACCAAGGTTTTAATCCACAAGACAAGGGTCCTCTATTGCTGTCATAAAAAAGTGGGTCAGATAATTTTAGGGTCAGACCAGATATTTAAATCAAATCGATTCATTTTCCATGACCCACCAACAATTACAGGCTACTTAAAGCTGGAAGCTATTTTTAGAGTGTAAGAATTTTGTTGCATCCTTAAAGACGTTACAAACAGACAAAGGTAGTACTTGAATTAAAGGAACAGCAACATAGGCGTAGATGAAAGAAAGAGAGGTTTATTATAAAAGAGAATACACTACTGAAAGACAGGGAATCGGTTAGCAGGCCAGGTTACCAGGTATATCCTGTGCTCACCATATATAGCTACTGATATAGTCAGTCCACATAGGCAATAGGCAGTGTGGGACATTCCATTACAGCAATTTTTTTTTTCTTTATAGATAATAATGGTTTAGTGATACAAGTCTTACTAATTAACACATAGCTTGGGGGAGAAGAGATGGATTCATACATAATCAGAATTTGATAAATAAAGAAATTATAGTACGGATATAAAGTGGGGGATCAATTCTATATTATAATCAATCTATAAACGGATCACTCACTTTGTGGCCAGGATAGTTTCTATAAATGAATGTAAACAAATCTAAAAGACATGCCTGTGTAGCTAATAAGTATTTAACTGATTGATTCATTTTCTATGACTTATCAACCCTTTGCATATTATTTAAAACCAGAAAATATTTTTAGATCATAAGAATTTCTTTTTTGTGATAATTAGTAAGACTTGTCACCATTATTAACTTACTAATTAACCCATAGATGGGAGTAGAAGAAGTGGATTCATACCTTTAATGATATCTGAGTGTAAGTGAATACAACAGATTCAACAGCAATTGTAATTTGATGTGCTGATTAACAATTCTGAGCCATTATCCATTGCACCACTTGAGCATCCAATCTTAGAGCACCTGATATTCCCAAGTGGTCACCTATCTAGGTACTGACCAGGCTTGATATTGCTTAACTTCAGAACCAGTATTAAAATCAGATCCCAGAGTTCATAATGGTGACCGTTTTCAAATAAGATATGATTGAAAAGGTACATATTTGAAATCCATTAGTAATTATCAGGGCCAAACCTCCCATTTAAGTCTTTTGCAGGAACTAGCCTAAAGTTCTGCCCAATATAATCCAAATGTTAACTTTCCACACGACCAAAAGCAAAAGGTTAAGAAAGAAACTCATCAATATTAGAAAGAGCTATAACAGCTAGTGGACTAAGAAAAATCTAATTTCTGGAAATTATTATTTTTTTTTAATTTCTGGATAAGGAGTTATCATTATTTACACTATTTACATGTGGACTATTGTCCTCATGTTTGTTGTTACTATCACCTGATTGTTTTCTGTCTGAATTTCTAGGGTGAGGAGTTATCATTATTTACACTATTTTCACGTCGACTATTGTCCTCATCTTTGTTGTTGTTATCACGTTTCAGCTGTTATGTCATCAGGTGTATATCAATCTGAGTAACCTATGGGGATTTCTGAAGTGAATTCTAAATAAAGGATTTCAGTTCAGAATTCAGCTACCCCATCAAGGAAGGCCTGAGGGCACAATGGTTGAAAAGTCCTAATATAAATAGTGTAAATATCAACACTACCAGTTTGGTCAATAAATGCTGAAGGTTCCCCATATAGAAACAGCTAATTCCATCATCCCAATTAATATCTTTGAATGGGCCAAAACAACTTTAACAAGTAAGATAAGGATAGCAGTTTGATTGTTCATGTCAAAAAAAAATCAATGATGAATTTAAATCCTGAATTTGACATTGAAATTCTTGAAATTAACCTGTTACCATTATTTAGAAATGAGAACAGTGAAAAACTTTGGCAAAAGAAAGAAATTCAACGTACACCATGTTTTTTGGCAGCTAACACGACTTGCTGGACAACAGACTCACTGGTCAATGGACGCACAGCATCATGAATTAAGACAATGTCAGGATCCTCACAGACTGAAAACAAAAATGAAAGAAAAAAAAAAAGTTAAATAAACATTCATAAAATTAAGTCAATTAATGCAAACATTTAGTACTAAAGATTGGCAAGAATTTATAAAAATGCAAAGTTGTGAAACTTACAATTTTTAGCCTTGTGCAACATTATAATAGAAGACATGTTGAAAATTTATTAAATAATAAATAGAAAATGAAATTTGGGTTGAGTTGTGAAATATGCACTGCTGCCAGAAATAATTCATTTTTTTTTTTTATTTTACTATAAATTAAACACTCCAGATTATGAGTATCCAGAAAAAAGAACACAAACCAAAAAGAAAAAAAAAAAACCCAAGAAAGAAACCCCCCAAAAGAAAGAACTAAAAAAAAAAAAAAAAACTCCCCAAAAAAGAAAGACAAAAAGAAAAAACCCAAAAAGAAAAAAAACCCAAAAAAGAAAAAACCAAAAAATCAAAAAAGATGAAAAAAAAAAAAAAGGAAAAAAAAAACGCAAAAAGACGTAAAAAACCCCAAAAAGCAAACCCCCACAAAAAAAGACGAAAAAAACCCAAAAAAGATGAAAACAAAAAAAGATGGAAAAGACGAAACCTCCCAAAAAGAAAAAAAAAAAAAGAAAAAAAAAACCAAAAAAGACGAAACCCCCCCCACCAAAAAAAACAAAAAGATGAAAAAAACCCCAAAAAGCAAAAAAAAAAAAAAGTCCAAAAACCCAAAAGCTAAAAAAAAAAAAAAAAAAAAAAAAAAGGAAAAGACAAAAACCAGATAAAAAAAGAAGAAAACCAGAAACAAAAAAACACTTTCAAATTTTATAGAAGTTAATGGAGGAAGGATTAATTTCCAATGGAAATTCACTGATCCGTCTATGGAAGCCTAATTTCAATATGCTTATAAAGTGTGATTTCTTGAAATTTGAACAAATAATTTTCTACATTCATAATCTGAAATGCTTAATTGATAGAAACATTTAAAAAGAACTCCAGGTTATGAATTTATAATTAAAAAATGATTTTTTTACATTAAGAAATCATATGGTATGAGCATATTTTATTTTGGCTTCCATTGGTTGGGGGGGGGGTCAGTTTACAAGGAATGTACATAGCAAAACTGGGACCCCTATTAACATTTAGAAAATTTGGAAAAAAATTATTATTTTCCAGTTTCCAACATTACAAAAATTTCTGATTGTTGACTGATTGAATTCATCAGAAGAAAATTTTAAATTAAATCATTGATCAACTAAATGAACTAAAAAGAAAAAGTTTAAAAATATTAATTAGAATCATAAAATGAAAGAAAGTTAGAGAAGTCATCAAAGTGACTTGAAACTGAGTCTATGAATTTACTTGCAGGAATTTGATAACATGATTCACATATTTATTCAAAAGGAATGTTTTTGTCAAAAAATCTACCAGAGAAATTTGAAAATATTTATGTCACTACCATTTGCTTGAAATGCAACCATTTCTTACATCAGCCTTTCTTAAAAGTACACCATGCAACTTAAGGACCTAACAAGGCAATGATAAACAAAAGTTTTTTTTTTGAGCTGGGAGGAAATTTGAAACTGGTTAGCTCTTGGCGACAATTCTACAGTAACAGCGGACAAACACTTAGATTAGGAAACATTTGTCAGATATGAGATGGTTCTAAATTTCTGAGCAGCAAAAAGGAAAATGTCCACAGCGCTAGCCATCATCCAGTCAGACACAAATGAAGCCATGCATCAAACACATGCAGAACTGTTTTCAAATCACCTGCAATTAACACTTTGAAGATTCTCATTAAACATTCATTTAATTATACTCAAATGTCGGTCATCATTGCCAATAAATAATATTCAGCAGCATAAATTTTCTAGTGAAGTGCTGTTTTGCATGTCATCTCTGGTTTCTTGTGGGCTATTGGCAATTCCTCAGGAACCCAACACCGCATCAATAGAGACTGAATGAATGATGGATAATTCTGTAAGGTTTCTTTCCTTTATTTAGTAGGAGGGGTACACAGTAGTAGTAGTCGTAAGATTGTTTCTTAGAGGAAGTGAGAGGCGAGATCTGAACAGGTTGCTCAGCGAATTACCATTACCGCATAGTGGTTTTCTCAATTTGCCAGACACTCCAAGGAATCAAAAAGGCATCTTCACTTCTTTCATTACTGCTACCATACTGACTAACTTCATGTGTTTTTTGGTTTTATATTAAAACTTAAAGACAATCCATCGCTGTCAGATTTCCATAGCCATAAGGTCAAACCACCCAAACAGCTATCACTAGACGACTTGATTTTAACTGGATGTTGTCCAGGCATAGCTGTGAGAATTAACCATGTGACTGTCCAGTTACTGGAAAGCAGTTACATCTTAACTGGATGCTGGCTGGTGATGACTAACCATTGGTAGTATTTTGAAATTTCTTTAATATTATAGCCTAGGTAATAAAACAAAAGCCATCTTGTTTAGAACTTATAAATTATAAAATTAAATTTGATAACAAGGTTTCAGGTACTTTTGAATGATAATCTGAATGTATTCTGCTGATGACCAAGAAAAAAAATCTCTGGTGAAAGATGAGGCATAAATCAGATTCCTTATGCTGTGTTCCACAATCACAAACCCGAATGCATTGACAAGCATATGAAAATTACCATACTGCCCTGTATGAATCTTAGCTAGTCTGCACTGAACAATTTTCACTTCTAGTCTAATTAGTTCTGCCTGTATATCCAGCATCACCGACATTTAAAGTTATAAATCAACAAATGTAATGAGGTTGAGTGATTGTTTTTGTTTAGCAGCATATCAACCTCTATGAGTTATTTAATGTCAAAGTATTTTGTACGCAATTTTATTTTATTTTTTAAGATAATGCTTTTAGTGATGTCTTACTAATTAACCCATAGCTGGGGGAGATGTGGATTCATACCTTCCTAAGGGTATTTGTGCATAAGTAAACATAATGAACCCATAACAAGCTACAAGGTTATTGTCCTCTATTGCTGTGGATCAGTTTGGTATGTCTACCATCAGATATTTAAATTAAATCTGATCAATTAATTCGTTTTCTACGACCCATCAACCTCTGCAGTTTATTTAAAGACAGAAAATATTTCTAGAGCAAGAATTTTTTTTCTAGATAATGGTTTAGTGATACAAGCCTTACTAATTAACCCATAGCTGGGGGGAGAAGAGGTGGATCCATACCTTTCCCAAGTGTATTTGCATGTAAGTGAACACATTGAATCCAACTGGAATTGGAACTTGGTTCTCTGATCAAAAATTCAATACATTAAAACAGCCGTACATCGAAGCTTACAGCACCTGGTATTTCCAACTGGTCGCCCATCAAGGTACTGACGAGGCTCGATATGGCTTAACTTCGTTGATCGTATGAGAATTGGTGTTTCAATGTGATGTGGCAGTTTTTGACGGAACATTCTTATGAATTAAGAATAAAAATTGAGTTAATGCGAATATGAATGTCATGGTGGATTAAGTTTTCTTTTGTATTGATACATGTAGAGGAAACAAGTCTGTTCTTTTGTTATCACTTTCAAACCAACAGAAAAGAATGTATTTTTATTTCCTGCAAAACTTTTGTTTGAAATTAAAACAACAAATACAAAAAAAAAAAAAAAACACAAAAAAGAATCCCCCCCCCCCCAACAAAAACAAAACAATAAAAAAAATATACGCCCCAAAAATAAAAATATAACCCCTTGGAAAAAAACAAAAAAACATTAATAATATTAATAAAAATATATCACTCACAATAAAAAAAAAACAAAAAAAAAAACAAAAAAAAATGTAACACCTCCACAATAAAAATAAGACAATAATAATAATAATGATAAAAAATATGCCCCCCCCCTCAATAAAAAACAACTAAAAAGCAGAGAAGGTGACATGCCTAAAGAGACGGCTTTGATTCCGTTATAAATGGACCTGTGCCTTGTTGCTGCAGCTGTTGCCACGTGGACTTTGTCGAGCAGATGCTGGCTGGCAACCTCTTGCAGGCTGTCTGTGTATTCTTTGGCGACTGTAACAATGATCTTCTGAATCCATGGGATCCTGAAAAGATAAAAAAAATATATATATATATGTCACGTGTAAAACAAAAGATATATGATAAAGAGAAGTAAAGGTGTGACAATTTTCATGATGACGTTCTCCGCTCATATGTCATTCACTGCATCTCTGGTGACATCCAAGATTGGCTGTATCTGCATATACACTTGATTTTGCTATGTTCACAGATTTGTCCACTTGGCTGTGATCAAATTCAACAGAAAATAATGACAACTGATTTTCAAGACTCTCTAGTTGGGAAATAGCAACAATACGAATTCTCACTTCTTAGCCGTCTGTTTTCTTTGGTTGAACTGCTATCTCCCTAACTTTCTCACTCTGCTTATATGGATAATGGCTGGGACCCTATCCCACTATCCATCCACATGTGTTCTGGAAGTTGAAGACCATCCAAGAAGCCAGATGCATGGTCAAACCTTCAAAACATTCTATTTTTATGATTATCTAAAATCAGTAACAACATTTTATGTTTGCCAATTCAAAAGCAGCTGGAGACAGAAATACCCAAAACACTGACACTTAAATTTACTCAAAGATGTTTTAGGGATATTTCTTGTAACTATTCTATCGATATTTCAATGGCATCTATTCTGATAAGCTCCATACTTTAGTTCAAGCACTTCAGACATTTACAGCTATGTCCACAGAAATTAATCACCCTCGTTTCCTCTGTATTGTAAGGAGGGAATTGCAACTTTCTTACAAGAACTGTGTGGAACAAACTCCCACATGGATGCTCTCCTGAAGACTTCAAGTCAAGGGTTAATCATTATCTATCCTCCTCATCCTTATCTCCTAACATTTTCCCTTACATTCATATCACAGGCAACTCATTCAGAAATCCTCTACCACAAGTGGCTCCTGAGCCTCGTATTAGGTGAACCTTAGTAAGACTATCCCCTCCCCAAAGACTTATTCACCTTCATGTTACTTGTCTATTTCTACAACTGAACTTGTACTAGATTGAGACATATTTGATTCCTTGGTCATTGTGAGTCATTAATACAAAAGCGAAAAAGACTGGTGAGTATCAACTGACAAGAGTTATCTCCCTTAAGCTTGGAAAGCAGAATGCAAACAATCTATCCTGGGATTGAAGAAAGGGTTCAGTTCAAAATTCCAAGAAGGTTACTGAATACGGAAGACTTCTGGGCAATCTTGAACTCTTATATGTGAAAGAAATGGAGTGTCAAAAGGAGAGCCTCTCCCCACCCCCACACTTGAGACCACCATTATGTTAACTACCTTCACTCCTCGGAAAATGTTTGTTTTAAAAAGTGATAATTAGAATTTTAATAAAAACTGAACATATAAAAAGATTATATTTAGGAAGTGGATTAAATCTAACATATTCATATTTTTAATTTATTTTGTTTGAACGTTATTTTTGATGGATACTCGTATTCAAGTAGAAGTTCTGTTTTTTTTAAACAGTATTTTTTATCCGACTAGAGGTGTGAGAGGGTAGCAATGTTTCGCTTCTGGGATAAGGGTGGTTGTGTGGTGGAAAACAATTCATTCTTTACAAGGCCACATAATCTTTTTTCAACCTTCCCAAACCTGGAAAGTGGATATTGGGCAGTTATGGTCACAATATGGCAGAATTACTTTATTTTGGGTCTGATCTGGCTCTTGTAAAGATAAAGTATAGTGGGAGGAGTCAGGTACTTACTAGAGTGGTACAAGAAACTGACCATTTTTTTCAGTATCGTTCAGGACACATTTGGAGTGAGCTGAGTTCCAATAGTTTTTTTGAGCCTTCATTCATCAAGATGGACAACAATTTGGGGTCTGCTGTGTGATGATAAAACTTGTTTGGTTTTGAAGGTATTGAATTTCCAAGCCTGTTTTTCCCCATAGTTATACTGGAACACCTATTCTATTGTTAATAGACTCTCCCACCTATAATAAGTAGGAGTATCAGCAGTCGCCAGGGAGCTCAGTGAGTTGGTGTGTCAGTCGATGTCGGACATTAAAGTATCAACCACCACAACTAGATTGCTGCGTCATTAACTATTTTATCAAGTTCCTAACGTTTTGTACGTCGAACCTATTTTAGGACCGACTTAGTGAAATACAAGCCTCCACTGTGAAACTACTAACACCCATTGAGCTGTGTGAGCTCAGTTAGAGCAGAGATCAGCTGCCACGCTCTGGTCATCTAGATTTTTGAAGGTGAATCCACATACCATTCTATCATCTGCATAGATATTCACAAGAGATCAGAGTATATTCTCAGGTATTAGATATTACAAGCTAGTTCCTTCCCCACTGAGACATGCAAACAAGTTCAAAAGAAAGATAAGCTGCCAGGCACTGGTCATCTAAATTTTTGGAGGTGCGCTCATAAACTGTGGTATCAGCACAGATATTTACTAAAGATTTAAATATGTCCATTGATGGATCATTAATACAAAGCAGAAAGAGTATAGGATTTCGAAGAGAGCTTTAGAGAATGCCTGAATTGATCTTATGGGGGTTCAGATGCCTGGCCATTAATGATGACCTTCATGGACCTACCTGTTACGAGTGACATGATCATTGAGAAAACTCTTCCAGAGATTCCATAGCTGGAAATTTTCTGCATCCACCCCACTAAGCCTTTCCAAAGACCTTAGTGATATCTAAAGGGATCACTCTTGAGCTGCATTTATTAAGTGCCTCACTGGTTCTCTGCATGATGATTGTCAAGATATCAGCAGTGGTTCTAGGAGTGAAAACCATACTGTTTGTCGCTCAGGAGGTTTTTCTCTTGAGGTGTGGAAAGATGTTCTTGATGAGAGCTTCAAAAGTTTATAGAGGCTGATAGAGAGATACTGTGACCTGCGTTCTTGTAAAGTAGACATAGGAATAAGATACACAAACACAAAATGCCCATTCAAACACATACACACATACTAATACTACAAGACAAAAAATACCCAAGGTCTACCTGAACAATGAAAACATAAAACAAACAACAGAGAACTCAAACAAGCCGAACTACTCTAATCACTATCTGTCTATATTTCTGAGATGAGGTATTATGTACACTATTTACATTATTCGGACTATTGTCCTCATCTTTGTCACCATATTTATTACAACGTCTTCGGCTTTTCAGTATCTGTCTATATTTCTGAGATGAGGTATTATGTACACTATTTACATTATTCGGGCTATTGTCTTGAAGGACACATGGTACAATGAATGAAGGCATTAGTTAGATCCAGTGACAGGACCCAAAGAGTGTGAGTTCAATACCCGGTTAAGGCAGTGGAGAACTTGGAGAGGGGAATTAACAGGCGATAACTGATATCCATTAAACATGGCAAATGGAACTAGAACAGTCTACCCCAGTGAGTGAAATAAAGGGTTCAGTTCAACATTACAACCACCTGAAGAAGGCTGGAGCGTACAACAGCCGAAACGTTGTAATAAATATGATGACAAAGATGAGGACAATAGTCCGAATAACATAAATAGTGTACTCTAATCACAATTTAAATAATATTAAAAAAAAAAAAATTCTTTAATATTACTTGGTTGTTTTTTGCCAGATTTTAAATTACGACACTTGATGAACATTCATGAACGTTCTCAAATTTAAAAGACTTGATAAATCGATGACATCCTTGCTCTTGCATATAAAAAAATCTTACATTTGCCTTGATAAAGTCCACCAGAGGACGAAACGTGTTGGTTAAGAATAGTTTTTCCTCTTGTCTCTTAATTCAATGCTTTTTTAACTGCTTCTTATATTCCCAAGGATAAGGTCATTTCAAGTCTTCTATGTAGATAGGAATTTCTTAAAATGATGTCAATAAAGATTTCAAAACTATATATTTTTTTTTAAATCCCCAACATTGTCCACAGACTAATTTGAAGTCAACCCCTCCTGGCAGTATCTGCTCTAACGTGTGACTTTCCAATCACCATGAGGTTTCCTCATATTTTTTTTTTTTTTTTATATATGAATGAGTAATAGAGATAACGTCAATGTGGGGTCTGGTGAGAGCTACTATTTCTCTTCTTACGATCCTGTAGCCTGACGGCTCCATGGACAAGATTAAAGAGAATGCAGTAAGGCAACTGATGCCAATCCCAAATGAGGAATTTCCAGACGAATTTGAAAAGTGGAATGGATTCTAGGATATGTATACCAAATGTTTACCAAATCCCAAAGAGAAGTATTTTGAAGGGACTAAAGTGCCATTACCCTAGGTAGGCCACTTATTGTTAATATTGGTTGGGAAGCTCATTTTTGGATCGATCATACATACAGACAGACAAACACAGAGACAGTTGTCTGCTTCTTCTGTGTATGCACACACACTTCCAAACAAAATACAAAATGATACATAAACAAAATGTCCAGTTCTTGTTTTTTCTTCTTGTTTTTCTCTTTTCCTTTTTTCACAAGTCTTGGTCATTTCCTTTGCCTTAAAATCAGGTGCAATTTATACATGAAAATAAGCCCCCCGGAATTTCTATGCTTTTATATCCCAGGTGCTTTGTACACAAAAGATTACGGTCGTTTCAAGTCTTCTATATAGATAGGAATTTCTTAAAATGATGTCAATAAAGATTTCAAAACTTAATTTTTTTTTTAATCTCCAACATTTTTCAAAATTGTAAAATGCTACTTGGTCTAACATTGTCGAAAAACTCTTTTAGTTTGGTTGTTCTAGAATATTTTTCACAGACTAATTTGAAGTGAACCCCTCCTGGCAGTATCTGCTTTACCGTGTGTTTTTCCAATTATCCCAGGGTTTCCTCATATTTTTTTAGTATATATGAATGAGTAATAGGGATGAGGCCAATGCGGAGTCTGGGGAGAGTTGCTATCTCTCTTCTTACGATCCTGTAAAATTTATGATGAAGCTTAAATAAAAGCGAAACATTAAATTTAGAGACATTTCTGGTTTGTTCCTTATTTTATCAGACGCATAACATTTTTTTTCTTCAGATTTTGTAAAGTTAGTTGTACTGAGAACTTTTCAGCATGCCCATGTATGTACATATAACTATATTGATATGAAAACATTTCAAAAGCTATTACATAATAAGCCAAATATTTTATCAACTTAAGAGACAAATCATAACCGTGACACTTAGTCCCATAAATTAGGCTGACAATTACGAGAGTTCCTGGTGCATGCTTGCAATTTTATCGAGACGGAAACAGATGTTCAACCATCAGTTATTTGAACAATGTCGTAATTATATATAATCATAACTTCTCAAAGGGTTGCATTAATTCCAAGCTACTGATAATCCCTTTTTCTGATAATTCTGTAAAAAACCCACAAATTCCATTTCAGTTATGTGCCATTTGTGATACACACTTATCTGATCATGTATCTTTCGATACATGACTTATGTTGCAGATTTTTTTCCTGCAGTAGGTTGCCATTTCTTTCTGCGGTAGATCATTTGCCATTCAAGGCTAAAGAACCCGGGCTGCCTTGCTATTTACCCATAGCCCTTGAGAAGAGGATTCATACCTTTCTCAAGAGTATTAGCATGTAAGTGAATGTGATGGATTTGACTAGAATTTGAACTTGGCTCTCCGATTCCTCAATCCGTTACTCCGTGTACCTCCATTTACCGTTTTTAAAATCCTTAAAAAATAATGCTATAAAACTTAAAAATTCTGTTATAAAACCTTTAATAAAAAAAAAAAAAATAAATAAATAAAAAAATGTTGCCATAAAACCCTTTGTTGGTGTCACTTGTAATTAGGAAGGATTGCAAAATACTACCCCCCCAACCACACAAAATGCATGCTGGGATTTCTTCCTAGCCAATAAGATTGGGGAGACCAAGAAGTAGCCTAACTCAGTCCCAGTCTGTCTTGTCTTGAAGTCAGAACGCTATGTGTCGTTTATCTGAATTAACTCTTGTGTGTCAACCCAAATTCTTAGTTTGCAAAATTTTGCCTTATTACTGTTGCTTTGCAATATTATTTTTTGCCTTTTTCTTTTCTTTTT